TACAGTGCTGGCCAAATTATTAGACTAAACTCATTTTTATAGTTATTTGGTTTTTTTTTCAGCCAAAAAACTATTTTATTACTGGTTAAAGTACATATTCTTATTTGTGTGTTATTTTTAAATATTATAAGCTAAAAATTCTGTTTTTTTATTTTCACAGGTGGTAGCCCTGAATTATTTCTTTATTTTTGCTGTTTTTACACCAAAGGCAGGGGTGCCAACTGCAAAATTAAATAATGAAGTTTTCAGCTTATACTATACTTAAGTAACATACAAAAGACATTTTATACTTAAATAGGCAATACAATAATTTTTATGCAATTTTTATGTACGAAAAATATAAAAAAAACATGAAAAAAATGCATTAGTCTAATAATTTGGCCAGCACTGTATTTGTCATTCCTTACTTCAGCTTCAGGTTCCTAAATAAATGTTTACTTGCAGCCTTACCTCATTTGCTTTAAATTCGCTATGACTAATGATATCAAATATTCATTGTCAACATTAGAATCAAACGGAAAATTATTTGAACGCCAGAGAAAAATACACAGGAGAATGTGTCAAAATTGTACACTCAATGAGGTTCAAGGATCCAAAGGATATCTATAATTGACTAAGTATTCAAAATAAGTGTGGATTGATTGCCCAAGGGTTACTGGCATTATTGCATTTGTAGATTCCAGTACTCAACTTTTTAAAGCCAGTAGGTAGTACATGAGGTAGAATAGTATACTGTAGTTGTAATGTGAGTTTTAGCATCAAAATTAACTAACAATATAAAGCTTTGTTCTTACCTACTTTTGTAAGGTATTTTAATTTCAAACACGATTTGAACTTATTTTTATAACAGAACTAGTTGTACAAAATTTTTCACCATGTAGTAATTAAATCAATAAATAAAATAATACTATTTTAAAATTAATTTTTGAGTTTTGTGATTTGTTATTTATTCTGTATTAAAGTTGTGTATACATGTACTATAATTTTTCTTATTTAAAGGTTGAATTTTTTCCAAATGGATTTGATTGGCGAATGTTAATGGTATTAAGTTAATTTAACTTTTTGTGTATATGTATATATCTTCTTATATGGAATTTTTTTTTATAAATAACATAAAAATAAAAGAACATAAGGTGAAATATATTGTATTACTTAGTTTTTTTTTCATATTTATAAATAAAATATAACAAATTTAAGAATTAATGTCATGTTTTGATTTATTGTTTGCAAGGTTTAATTTCATTGTAGTCTTATATACTGATCTCAAGGCTTGTGTATATTAATCTAGAGGTTAAAATACCTTTAGATTAATAGATTAATAGAATAGGTTAAAGGTATTTTTACCTCTAGATTAATTTAAATTTGTGATCAGGAGGCAAAAAAAAAACAAACAGAAATGAAACTTGGGTATATCCTTGAATCGTACAAAATGTTTATAAAATATTGTTGCTCAATTATTTACTTTCACATTCCATTAACAGCGTATTTACTAAAATTATTTTAGAGTCTAAAAATATACAGACACTTAAACCTGCTACACATAGCATAATCGACTAAATTGTACATAGAAAGGATGATTATCTCATGAAAATCAAGGAGTAATGAGAGTTGAAGATGATTACTCAAGGTAAAACATCATGAGACTCTAGAGATGTGTGTTGTCAAACAAACAACATGTCAAACAAACACACGCTGACTGCTCCCTGGTGTAGTTTGACACACTTTACAGTTTGTTAGGAAAATTAATATCTCATCTTTGATACTACACTGTTGAAGTGTTTGCTAATTCAGTAATCAGAGACATTGCTTTCTAACAACTAGGAATAATAATTTTGAGATGGAGTAAAGAAGTAAAAAAAGGATTAAGTGTCCTATAGAAATATTATATGTTAATTTTTTTTATTTGTTTACATTATACAAACATACAATTTTGTAGATATTGAAGTACTCAAGTAAGTGAAATCTTCACTTTTATTGTCTTAATTTAGTAGATAATCTACATAATTAAAACATGGGTAATTTTAAAAAATGTATCAAATTAACATTTTTGCACAGATATTTATACTGTAGTATATTAGATACAGTTGCTTTACCCATCAGTGAGGAAACAGAAAAGCGAAAAAGTGGCTAAATATTTTGTTCTTTAAAAATCAGTTCCATTCCAAACTACCATTGAGAGAGGCAAAACTAAACTGTGAGTTTTTTTTTCAATGAATATCTTTTTGGTTGGTGTACATAAATATAAAAATCTAATTCAAAGTATCATAATAATTTTACTTATTTGTGAAAATAAACATATAGGCTACATAAATCATAAAAGGTGAAACAAATTGCTTTTATAGACGGAATAGCACCACCACTTTCTAATAACACTGTTCATACAATAAAGTTGTATTAGAAAAAGGGTTGCCATCATACAAATGCAAACCAGAGTACAAAATCATTCTAACCGGAGTAAGCAATAATACTCTATTTGTCAGAAAAATGTTCTATAGCTTTTTGGGGAGACGCCACCTTCCTTAAGTAAACCATCATCACAAATTAAAAGGACATTAAAGAATGATAGGACCTTCAACAATTATTGTTAAAAATCAAATATAAAACATTAATTTTACATTTTAATTTCAGAAAATTAAACATAAGACTTTGGTATTAAGTAAACAATTTTAATAATTTTATTAGAGCAAATCGTGCCAAATTAAATCTTTCTGTCAAGTTATTTGTGAATGTTGCATGCGCTTGTTTAGCATACCTAATGAAGATTTTTAGGAGGAAAGGATTTTTTAAGTTTTTATTCTACTTTCTTAAGCAATACAAATATTCAATTGGCATTAATATCAGTTAATTAATTTTTTAATCAATTACTTAACAAGTAGGACAGAAAATGTACGCATTGGAACGAAATATTCACACAATTTGCAGATAACCTATTAAGTAATAACAATGCATTTTCTAGTATAAAAAATCAATTTTGAATGTAGAATATTACTAAACAAACAAATAATTCATTCTTTTATTAAGATTTGAAATTCTTATACAGTAGTTTAAAAAGGACAGAATGTTTTACCTTCACTAAGGTTTATTAAAATATTTGTTTTTTTATCAAAACTTGATTAATTGTTAGTTTAGAATCTAGTTTTGTTTTTGTATGAAAAGAAAAAAATGAATTTAATTCTTTTACCATCCTATAAGTCAATGTTTTTAATGCAACAACAAAATAAGCTAAAAATAAGAATGAGTAATGAGTTTAAACAGAAAATGTTAATATTCAGTACACTCACAAGAATCACTAGCATACAAATAAACCTGTTTAAATATAAAAAAATATATCCTTTAATAATAGATAAACGTAGTTTCGCCTAAATTAGGTATATCAAGTTTATGATTTTTACTTAAGTTGTTTTAAAACGGGGAAAACCCCCTTTCCTAAACTGTTTTAATATTTTTGTTTACCAAATGTTTTTTCGGATGAAAAGATTGGCTCTTTTCATCCTAAAACATTTGGTAAAAAAATATAACAAACATAACATTTTATAAAATTTAATATGAGTAAAATAATTAATCAAACTAAACAATTTAAGCTTTTCAAATTAGTTTAGTTGCATCCGCAGAGTGCAAATTAGTGTAACCTTGAGTTAAACAAAGTGTCAATTTACATGCTAACATCTAGGCTTAAAATAATGTTCTTTATGGTGTTTTGTGTATTTTTTTGAAAAGGAAAACAACTTTGTGACTTTAATTTCACAAAAATATACGTCCTGTTTTTGTAAAAAAGTATTTAAGCATTTTGAAGACTGTGTAAATAAATGTCAACTTATTGTTAAAGATTCTAGTTATTTTTATGTTATAGGAGGATGTAAACATTCATAAAGCGCACAGACAAAAATGTCAATTACTGTTCTGCTGGGAATTAAATACAACTGAAGGATGAATATATATTATTTTATTTTAAATTTCACAGATAAAAGTTGACGAACAGACAAAAGCTCTATTAGAAGTACAAAGTACAACAATTTGATTATGAAAATACTATTCAGAAAATAAAGTTGTATTAGAGAAAGGTTTGCCATCTTACAAAATTATTATAGGAATACAGACAAACCGGAAAAAAACAATAATACTACTATCATAAAACATTTGTATAGCTTTATGGGGAGACCCAACCTTTCTTAAGTAAGCCAACACATAATTTAAATGAACTAATACGGATTGGTAGGATCCAACCCAAGCCATCATAGATAGAAGTCCAGCTCTAACCTCAAGATCAGATGTGTTTCATACATTATAAGTGATTTATGAATTTGTAGGTGATTTTGTAAAATACAACGCTTAGCCATTCTAACGTATACATTTTGAAGTGTCTACCTTGAACACATTACTTGGGGGTGAACAATCATGTTCTAAATCATCACAAAAGGTATCTGAATTACCCTGAAACTATAACTGGATGTTCCTTTACAATCACATAGAAGTTGGACCAACACAGAAAAAAAAAACAATTGTTTGTTTTTTCAATACCTCAGATTATTTTATATATTTTTTTCAGATTATAAATAATTAAATTTACAATTTGTTTAAAAATTTCCACTTTTTGATCGCTATCCAGTGAGGTGTGTGTAAAGATAAAATTATTGTAGGGGTGCCCAGCCACTGTCCTGTTCTACCCCTCTACTTGTAGTCAAGTTTGCTTGCTTCAACTTGAATGCTGCTGTACCTGGTGAGTTACTGCATAAATGCTGCATTCACTAATTGTCGATACTTCATTGCCTGAAGTCTAGCTTGAAATGAGTATAAAGTTGTATACGCTACATAGGTAATGATGTGTACAACTTTACACTAATTTCAGGTTCATACTAATAGAAATTGTAAAACAAACACACGCACACCACACTAATAAAGATGAAAAGAGGGGCTGGATAAAAAAAAACTAGTCTATATGACTTCTCAAAATAAAAGAATTTGAAATAATTGGGCTCATTATAAATCACACATGTTCATACCTGACTAAGAGGTCGTATCCGCTGGTGGATACTGCGCTCTGCCTCCAGCGCTGATGGCGGGGGATGATCAGGTGTGGGGGGCTGCTGGTAGTGTGTGGGACTGAGTGGACAGTTAGACGGGGGCTTCTTGTGATCCCCGTTGAGCAAACTCTCTTGTGATGACTTGAATGTGATGTAAGCACTGGATACAAAGATGGGTGAATCACTTGTGGCTGGTGAATACGCTTCCACCTGGAGAAAAAAGAACATAGGTACTTTTAAAAAGAATTATAGTAAAATTTTTCATAAAATATTGGTAAATTCAAGAATTCCAGATAGAAAGTGATTTAAAATTCAAATTCAGTTTCAGATTACAAAAAGAACACAAAAATAAAAACAAGTACCTTGCGGAAGGGCAGGTCGCCTCTGCTCAGGATGACGGAAGGGTCGCAGTTCTCGTAGCTCTTGTCTGTTATCCTCCGCAGTTTCCGTCTAGGGTTTGTTGTTCTCACAGGCATGTTCTCATACAGTGATGTGATGGCGACAGGCTCGTACTTGTCATCTGATTCACTCACCATACTGCGTCTCAGCTTCATGTCTACGTACTGATCAGCAGATACGCCTCGCCTCAGCTTTGCACACGCCATCATCTGCAACGGGGAAGGAACATCTTGCAATTACAAAAATTGGCAAATTACATTTAAACAAAAATTACTTTCATTCAAACTTACTACTTATTACTTTTGTACTTCAATAGGATGAAAGAGCACAAAACCCCCAAATATTAATGGTGTTATCTAAAAAGTTTTTATGATGAAGTTCAGGAGATTTTAAGGTACCTCATGAGTTGTGCAATAAGCCTCATACAGAAGCTAAAAAAAATTAAAAAGGCTCCTAAAAGAAAGTTAGGGGAAAATAATAATAATTTATTGACAAGTTTGTTTGGACCAAAATTAAAATATTATTCATGACAAAAAGGGCTAAAATAAGTTTTGGCTTTAGGATGCTCAGGCCTTCTGCAATACAGGGTTTTTGAAAAGTCCAACAGACGTGAACATGTAAGTAATTTGCTGTATGCCTAAACAATGTTTAAAAGCTGTCTAATCTTTATTCACTACTTCAATATTAACTAATTCATGTGACAAATACAAATTATCCATGAACAAAATTTTGTGGACCCTGGTGTATTGCCAAAGATCAGAAACTTCACATGAAGAAGAAATAGCTAATCACCTCGTCCAGGTCGCCATGGCTGCGAACACCACTCCTCGCCAGGAACAGGTACTCGTAGGCATGGGCGGAGGGAGACTGATGATGGTCCGCAGACACAGACATGAGCGGCATCAGGTGAGTTGGCGACACTGACAGGTTGCGCCGGGGAGGCTTCTTTGGTGGTGTGGGCTGTGAACATAATTTGAATATCACTAAACGTATCTTGGTACAGTAGATCCATTTCTACAATATAAGGGTCCAAAAGTTAAACAAATGACATTTTGTTTTTCTTAGGTATGAACTATTAATAGTTTGTTGAAAAGTCATCAAAGACAATACTTCAGCTTACAGTATAAGAAATTGCCACGTATACTTACAGAAACTTTGTTATTGGCAGTGGGTGAGGGCTGGGAAGGCGCCATGGGCAGATAGATGTCTCTAGGGGAGGGTCCACCAGTGCTGGATGCTGTGGAGGAAACACTCATCTGGTCCAGGTCTCTGCCCTCCAGAGAGTCCATCAGAGACTTGGAAAGTCCGTAGTGTCTTAGTCCGTCATTGCCACTGCCTCTGTATAATTAAATCACATTTCAGTTACACTATACTGGAGGAATTTTGACTGTGTAGGTATCAGTAGCTAAACTAGTTCCTGGTAAAGTAAGTAGTAGCCAAACAAGTCCCTGATAAGGTAAGTAGTAGCCAATCTAGTCCCTGATAAGGTAAGTAGTAGCCAATCTAGTCCCTGGTAAGGTAAGTAGTAGCCAATCTAGTCCCTGATAAGGTAAGTAGTAGCCCATCTAGTCCCGGGTAAGGTCAGTAGTAGCCAATCTAGTCCCTGGTAAGGTAAGTGTAGCAGCCAATCTAGTTCCTGATAAGGTAAGTAGTAGCCCATCTAGTCCCTGGTAAGGTAAGTAGTAGCCAATCTAGCCTCTGGTAAGATAAGTAGTAGCCAAACAAGTCTTTGGTAAGGTAAATAGTAGCCAAAAAACACCCCGGTAAGATAGGTAGTAGCCAATCTAGTCGCTAGTGAGGTAAATATAGTATCCAAACAAGTTCCAGGTAAGGTAAGTAGTAGCCAAACAAGTCACTGATAAGGTAAGTAGTAGCCAAACAAGTCCCTGATAAGGTAAGTAGTAGCCAATCTAGTCCCTGGTAGTCTAAGTAGCAGCCAATCTAGTTCCTGGTAAGGTAAGTAGTAGCCAATCCAGCCTCTAGTAAGATAAGTAGTTAGCCAAAAAAGTCTCTGGTAAGGTAAATAGTAGCCAATCTAGTCCCTGGTAAGGTAAGTAGTAGCTGAACAAGTCCTTGTTAAGATAAGTAGTAGCATAACGAGTCCCTGGTGCTGGTAATGTAAGTAGTAGCCAAACAAGTCCCTGATAAGGTAAGTAGTAACCAAATAAGTCCCTGGTAAGATAATTAGTAGCCAATCTCTAACAAATCAGACTTAACTTACGTATTTAGTGCTTGGAAATTCTGATACACTATAAGTTAAAAGCCTAGTGTATTATGACACTGGTTCGACCTTTACCGTTGTGAACTTAATGGTTTAGTAAATATTATACACAAAAAATATGACTAAAACGAAGCCATCATTAAGAAACATGAATATAGAAATTGTCGTCCAAATAAATCGCTGATGCAACTAGGGTAATTAACCCTGGCAAAGCGTGTGTTTAAGACGAGAAAAACGTGTCCCAAATAAATTTATATTAGACACTGTACGCAGGCCACAAACTACTACACCACACTATCTCAAATTTAACCAAGTGGAGAGAGTTAACAATGATACTCGTAAAAATAAAAACTAAATAAAATTAAACTGCACTACTAATTATCATTTTCCAAGAACTCTTCATAAAACGTTACAAGAAATAACCGCTTATGAAAATCCTCGAGTCAAAAGGTTAAATAAAAGAGGCAATCAAGAAACCGCAGAATAAAGCAGTTAGACAAGTTTAGACAAGTCTTGGTGTAATTAAAAGAGATGTTTGCGTCAGGTTATATCGAGACTATGGAGTTCGCCAAGACGAAGCTTGATGTAATGAGCGAGTTTTTCCGCTCTCTGACTTTCTCATTTCCTACAGACAAACATTTGCTCTCGACACACCACACTTCGGATATATATTTCACATTTTATTAAAACCGTCAGAAAACTCGGTGTAGATTTTTAGTTTTAGTCACGCTCCGTAGACGAGCTCGCGGGCGCGGGGCTAATCAAAAGTTGCCCTTCTCATCCGTTTGTTTGGTTTTTGCCGCAAACTTTGCCCGAGCGCGCCGCCCCGTCGCTAATAATGTATTCTTTGAATCCGCCCCGACCCGAGAAAGACAACATTTGTCCGCTAAAAATTAGCCGCGCCTCTAACGAACCGGCTGGATTAAATCTTGTGGTTCGAATCGTGTGTTGAGCGCCTTTTAATAAACCCGTTGTCCAGAAACAATTAATCATGCACAATAATGTAATAGCATATAAAACTAGTGAGTGCGAGATAGACATCCTATTGTGCAACAATAATTACACTACATTATATTGTGTCGATGTGACTCAATTGTTAATACACTTTCAATGGAATTTACCATTGTTTTTTTACCCTGTTCAACAAAGATCGTCCGAAATGAACATTCATTCAAACTAAAACTATATTGTTTTGCAATATTTTTTACAATACAGAACAGATGGCCTGGAGATGCTTACATCGATATCGCCGACGAGGCGGAGACCCGACGATCCCACTGTGTGGGCGAGTGGCTGGGAGGAACTCTGACATTCTCGTAGGGACTGCCTAGAGACGGTACAGGGATGGGCGGTAGAGACTGGTCACCGTGGACCGCCCTGAACCCTGCAAGAACCGACATCAACATATGTAGTTGTACGATGGCACAAGTCTAACATAACAAGTATAGGCAAGCAAAATAGATTGCCCACAAGAAAAGTTATGATAAGCATGCGAACTATGAACAAAACCAACTTACTTGATATAATGGTGATGATGTCTTGGACGACATGGGTGGGGAATTGTTTGAGCAAATCAGTGACAGTGTTTCGTTGTTCGTCGCGGATGCCGAGGTCGACGCCGTGTTCCAGCAGCGTCCTGACGACTTCGGTCTTGCCACAGAGAGCGGCCTCGTGTAGCGCGGACCCCGCGGCCGTGCGGACGTTGACGTCCATACCTGCAGAGAGCAGTACCTCCACCACGGCCCTGGAACATCATCACAAATACTGTAGACAAAGACACTATATCCTAACCACATGCCAAAGAAATCAAAAGAATCCTGCAAAGGTGTGGCATCCATGGGAACCAGAAAATGCAAAGTGGAAAAGAGTACACGTAGATTTCCCTAGGATCTGTCTCGAATCAATACATTTAACTTGTTGTGGACTCATTCTCTAACTGGTTGGAAGTCTCCCCAATGACTCAAAGCAACATCCAAGAAAACCATCGAGTTTTTGGAAGGTTTTTTCACGATGCGGCCTACCCTAAACATTGATGAGCGACAAAGATTCGAAATTAAAATCAGAAGAGTTAAGTAATTATTTAAAACTGAATTGAATCATTCATAGAACCATTGAGAACTATAATTTACAGAGCTATGGCCAGGCAAAACGCTATGTTCAAGAAGTTTAAAGACACTTAAGAAAAGGATACAAAGGGAAAATTAAAAGAAAAACGTCTCAAGATTCTCTCATCTCACCGGAAAACACGACATCGATCACAACAAAAATCCGGTGGAATGATGTTTGGAAGAACACTGGATGTGTTGAGACCTTCATTGGAATCTTCGTTGGACCTTTCCCCGCACAGCCCAACAAGGACGCATATCATGCAATGGAAGAATAAGAGAGGTCAAAGCAGGTGATGTTTTCACAAGGACAAGGGAAATTATGAAAAATAATAAAATTGCTTGGCGGAAAGGTAATATAAAGAAAACTATTGGGAAGGTGATGTACTCCTTTGCTGTTAATGATATAGAGACGAGACATAAATCAAATTCAAACGTTGTAAACCTGGACAATTTATTTGGTAAATTCACAGTATATCAAGATTAGTATCATAGAGGAAGAAGTTGTACCCGTTGTACTGTCTTAAAATGAACAGTATTTTTTTTTAAACTAATCAGCTGAGTTAGCATATTATGTTTGTTTAGAACTTCTGGAATTGTAAAATATCATATGTCATAAAGTGGTAGTTTTAATGTGTGTTTAAAATAGCTTCCACTACGATAATCAGGATGGTTAGGAATGAATAGTTACACAAATAACTGGTATTAATGATGGAATATAACTTAATATAACCAACTATTAACAAGTTTTATTTCGTTATTTGCCTAAATTTGCCAGTATATAAGATTGAAAGTATTAATAATTGTATTAATACTTTTTGACTTTTTTAAAGCCCCATTTTTTTACAAACTCCTACGAGACCTTCCCGACGTAATATCTGTTGATAGACCAAAAGTTCTTCAACATACAAGAAGAACTTGGATCCTTATTCTTGTAATTTCCACCTCGAAGTCCCTCTATATTCCATCGACGTACCTAACCTAATATAATTCTACTTAACCTATATAATGTTATATAATACAGGGTTATTACAAATGATGTTCCTGATTTTGATTATAAATATTACTGGGTTAATTTGTTTCAAGACTATTTTAATTGGTACCATTGGAAAGAAAAACTCATAAAGTTTTATTTACATTGGTTTGGGTGCATATCAGCTGTTTGTCAAGTCAATTGTTGTAAGTGTTGTGTAATGGCTGAATTTGAAGGCAGGAAAGCTTTTTGCCAGTTGCAATATTACATTAACCAATCTGTTATTAGTGTGCAACGACACTTAAGAACCAGGTTTAACGATTATCCTCCTAGTAACCACTATATTGGCAAGTGTCACTTGAAATTTAAGAGAAGTGGCTGCATTTTAATGTTACCTGTAGTAGGGTTGAACTTAACAATGTGCTGCCTGAGATATGGAACGAGCTCGGTGGTCCGAATAATGACACACCCCTGAACTGGCCTACAAGATCTCCGGATATCACCCCTTGATTTTTTTCTTGTGGGGATACATCAAAGATAAGGCGTACACATCACCATTATCAAGCATACTTGAGATCCAGCAACGAATTACCAAAGCTATCGAAACAATAGACCTAGACACACTTTTCAAAGTCTAGCAAGAGCTTGACTACATTATTGACATCTGTCGTACCACAAGGGGTTTCCGTATCGAGCATTTACAGTTCTGTGTATCTGTATCAAAACTTTTTGAGTTTTTCAAAAGTTGTAACCATTTTATTTCTTTCTATAACAAATAAAACTATATTTCATGTATGTATGAAATCATGAACATCATTTGTAATAACCCTGTATAACAACATAATATACATAACATAATATAATAACTTAATATATACTATTACTTAAAAATCTAGTGGTGTCTGTCTGTATGTTTGTTACTAATAGGCGCATTAACTACTGAACTGACTGGGCTTAAATTATACAAAAATATAGCTACCATACCAAGGACCTTTATAGGACTATTCACACTTCGATACTGAACGTGGGCTTTGACCCTTTGACTTTAAAAGTTCTGAGGTGAGGAATTTAAAAGTAAATATTGATTGGTCTCCATGGCTGCCATGAGAGCACATACAATGTTTGCAATTTGCTATGCCACCCAAATGTAAAAAAGCTGATCTGTCAAACCACATTAATTCACAATTCCACAGCTGGTTTATAAATAGGCATATAATATTCTCTACAATCATGTGACATGTTTATTTATTCTTATATTTTATGGTTCATTGATTATTGATTTTATGAAAAAAGTGAGATTGTATATCTGTTGCTGTATCTAAACTTAATTAATTATAAAAAATTTCGCTAATGTGTATTGAAAGATTTTGGAGTAAAAAATAGTGAAATTATAAAGTTCACATTTACTTTAATCATTTTAAAATTTTTGAAGAATTAACATGTGTTTAGAGTAGGGCACACACCTTAAAAATTGAAACTTTTTCTCAAAGGAGATAATTAATTGTATATTTTTGCCATTTTGAGAGAAGTATTGTTCTCACCATTTGAGTTTTTACAAATTTTTAAAATCATAATTTCATATTACTACCCATAGATTAGTTATGATGTTTTCTAATCCAGAGGTAGCTACTACCTATCTATATTATAATTTTTGACACTTTCTGTAGATTTAACATTCTATTCTAATAATGAATAACTTTTTACGAGCGTTTCATGGTCATTATATGTATATTTTCAACCAAGTTCCTCTTAGCTTAACCTACCCTCAACATAAACATTGTTTGAATGACGTTAAATTTCCATATTCTAAGCTGATACAAATATTTCAATTTAAAAACAACAATAAAAAACTAAGTTGTATATGCACTTACCTTTGGTGCATGAATAGTAGGAGCTATAAATAGTAGGGCTAAGTATATTTCTGTTTGTTTTAGTAGTAAGAGTGTTAATGTTTTTGTTTGTTCACATAGTATATAATGAGATTTTTTATAATCAATGCTAAGTGAGCAATGCTTTTTAGAAGCAAGATCATATATGTTTCTTTTCATTCAAACCATAATATTAACCAGATGTGGTAAATTATTGTTTGTCTATGTTTGATTTGATCATTTAAAAGTACTGTAAGTAAAAGCTTTGAGTTTTTTATTGTTTGAAAATGTTTTTTATGTAATTAGTAAGTTAACAGTTTTTGATAGGTAAATTTATTGGAATTGAATCTTATTTTACACTGTTTTTCATTTCAGATTTCAAAATGCAACATTTAAACATACATCAACCCCAGACTAAGGACGGGTACTCTGCTAGTGTTATATAATTAGAACCTAACCTATATAATGTTAGGTTATATACATCGATGCTATATTCCTACCAGAATTCATCACAAAGGGATAAAAAGATAAGAATCGGTGGGTTGGCAAGTGAATATCTTAAATGTGAGCGGGGAGTATTACCATGAGAACGGGGTTTTGTGGGAGTTTTATGGGGTTAAATTTTTTTTCTTATTTTGACCCCAAAACCTACCGTTTCCCTATTACTCATAAAGAGCTAATGAAATAAATAATTTAATATATTCAACTGTTTTTTTACAGTTATTGGCTATGGAGAAAATTCAAAAATTTTAAAGTTAAAATTCGCATGTTATTTTTATGAATAAAGTAAACTATTGTAGTTTTGCTTGTTTATGGATATATTTTGATCAAACTTGGAAAATTATTTATTCTATACTAAGCTATAATTTAGATCAGTGCAATCTGCAGGTGGCTCACATAAACTACGACGATTTTGATAAAACAAAAATCTGGCTACAAATTTAACATGGGGATGGAATGTCTAGTTGTGTTAATAGTCAAAGCTAAACGTAAACAAATTTAAATCCCGTCGGCTACAATGCCCTATAATCAAATGAAAACAATGAATACAACCGATTGTTGAAAACGCTGTTGACCAGTGAATATAATGAATAGCTGAGGTCATCAACTTCAGCTGAATTAAATTTCCACAGGGAGTTAAAAGAGATGTATACTGTACTCCCAAGGAAGAAAAACAGAATTACTAAGACTCGAAACGCATTTGTTTTGTAAAAATCCGATACCGATATTACCATTATCGAAATCGGCCCAAGTTGAAGAGTGTCAAATGCTTTATTTGGTGCCCCCCTGTAAAGTAAGGGAGGCTTCAAAAATTGCAACTCCTCCCCGAAGGGTGGGATGCGGGATTTAATTGTTTGGTTTCAGCAAACGTACCCTCACTTACGTTCCTCGGGCAGTTCGCTCCCCAGACAAGGATGGTGAGAGAACAAGGGTCAAGATAGAGGAGGTCGTATAACGCGAACACTAAAATCGGTGTGAGAACCAAACATTTCACGTCAAGTTTGATCAATAATTCGTTTTTAGAAAACGGTGAAATTATATATTTTCTTAAAAACTTAATATTTTCGGCAAACAAAAAAGAGTAAACATTGTGATAAACACATAATTTAAGTTTTTTAAATAGATTTTGTCTAATTAACAACACTTTTTTGGCGTACTCTACAGCGCTGCGATCTAGTGGTGAGCGAGACAACGAAGTCGGCAAGGCAGGACGCTAGTACCTGCAATGGCCACCCGCAGCGCGAAATACCGGCGCACATCTGACAACAATGGTGATTGGTGAAGAATATTGTTTGGGAACAGAGTAAAATTAATTTAACCTCCAGCTAATCGCAGTTTTGTTGGTTGAGTGCAAACTGTTGATGAATATAGTACGATAAAAATATTAATGAAATGTGTTATTATTTCTAAATAATTGAAATGCAAACTATCTTCAAAAACCGTTTAACATAAACATCCCAATCCTAAGAGAAAGTAGAAATAGTTTATAAAATCATGGGAGGAAATTTTTACTACGTACTACGGGAGTATGTTTTATCTATGGTACTACGTATTTAATTTTAAAATGTTAAAAATTAATGGCACCTTTGCAGCTCGTTAATAAAATCTTCAACAATCAAGAGAGCGTATTTTAAGTAGAATGGGTTTTATGTTTTAATGTCTCTATTTTGTGAAATAACTATTAATATATAGACTATAGACATGAAATCGCTCTCTATATACCGAATAGAAACCGACCTTCGTTCCTATAAGGACCTCTATACAGGGTTAGTAAAAAGTGTGGAGACCCCCTGTTATTTTTTTAACGGCCCATACTAGAAAAACTAAACTCGGCACACCATTATGGCATGTTATGAAGTACTTTTTGGGCATAACCGTCACTTGGTGTACATACCCAAAATGGGGGATTTTGGGGGAAACTAAAAAAATTCAAATACAAAGACCTACCGAGTGACCCCTCATTTCGAAGGTCCTGGTAAAAGAAAACCAACAACGCAAACTAGAGGTCTCTATCTCAGCTCAGTACAAAATGGCAGCCAATTGAAATTCTCATAAGTTCCCAAACCCAAAATGGGGGATTTTGGGGGAAACTCAAAATTTTTTAATGATAAGCCCCATCGAGTGACCCCTCATTTTGAAGGCCATAATAAAAGAAAACTAACAACACAAACTATAGGTCTCTATCTTAACACAGTAAAATATGGCAGCCAATTGAATATAAAATTGCAAGTTATTTCCAATTTCTAAAGATTTCAATCAGCTTCCATTTTTTACTGGATTGAGATAGAAACCTCTAGTTTGCGTTGTAAGTTTTCTTTTACCAGGACCTTCAAAATGAGGGATCACTTGATGGGGCTTATCATTTAAAACTTTTGAGTTTCCCCCAAAATCCCCCATTTTGGGTTTGGTAAGCAAGTGGCTATTATGCTTAAAAAGTACTTCATAACATGCCAAAAAGGTGTGTAGAGTTCAGTTTTCCTAGTGTGAGCCGCTACAAAATTTACAGGGGGTCTCCAGACTTGGAAAGCTGCAAGTTAAATTCTATTTCTGAGAATTTCAATTGGCTGCCATTTTTTACTGGATTGAGATAAATACCTCTAGTTTGCGTTTTTGGTTTTCTTTTACCAGGACCTTCAAAATGAGGGGTCACTCGGTAGGTCTTTGTATTTGAAATTTTTGAGTTTCCCCCAAAATCCCCCATTTTGGGGATGTACACCAAGTGACGGTTATGCCCAAAAAGTACTTCATAACATGCCATAAAGGTGTGCCGAGTTTAGTTTTTCTAGTATGGGCCGTTAAAAAAATAACAGGGGGTCTCCACACTTTTTACTAACCCTGTATATGATCTGTACAACTAAGCTTGTCTACTGAAAAACTAGAGGGGACTTTTATGAATGAATGAAAAGTGTAATTAGCGTAATATCTTAACAATGCCAATCATTCCCTAGTTTTTTTGTCCCACGGGGCATAGTTCAAAGCACCAAATATAATTTTATCCTTATACTCCTAGAACGAGTATTTTTAGATTATAAATTTAAATCCAAGTCTCTATAGCATTCGCAAGGTTGTATCACATTTCACCTTGCAAGTAGCGAACTCAGTCAGGGTCGAAGTTTAGGTTGAGGGTTGAGACTCCCGCCAATAAAGCCTCCCTCGACAGATGGCGCGCGTGTTTCTTTTATTGAATTCCTCGGCAACATTTTCCATAACCGGTAACACATGCGGCGCGTACGCACCACTTGACAAAAACTCAATCCTGCGCCACATTTCCTGATGCGGTCCTTATCAGTGGCAGGATATTAAAATGGCGGCGGCGCGACGTTAATCAGCCTTATCTGATATTGATGGCGTTGGCGTTGGCGGCCGGACATCGCTGACACACGTCACAACTGTACATTGTATATCGCACACGGTAAATATTAATGAACACCGTAACAATCAACTGTAACTATTGGTCCGATCAAATATTAAATACTCAATGTCAAATCACTGAGGATTTCAATCTACAGTACTGCGTGTCCAGCACCACGGTAGATAAGAAATTCTACAACATGTAGGAAATTTAAGAATAATAATTAAATAGTGAATAGCAGAACAAGATATTGGGACTGTTGCAAATAAAATATAAATAAGGAACTAATTTGCTGCTCTATCAGTAAAATAAAGTTATAAGATATCGTACCCTATGGTATAAAGCAAATTATCTAAGCACTATAATGTGACAGTTTAGTTAGATAAACGCTTTTAGCACAGACAATGGAATAAACCAATGGAATAAAATTAAAGTATTATATTGTCTGTGCTTTTAGCTAATTTCTCAGGACACAAGAAGGTTATGAACTACTGTAGCGCAGAATGCAGATAAAGTAATCTAAAAGCACGATGTGTTGCGATCGTTTGATGAGTCTTTTGATGCTCTCAGTAGACGTTTATGAGATTGCACATAATGCAGATTATCTAAGCACGATTATTGTTTGATAAGTTCTTTGCAGCTCTCTCAGGGGATTGACAGATTGTGAGACATAATACAGGTTATCTAAGCACGATAATTGTTTGATAAGTTCTTTGCAGCTCTCTCAGGGGATTGACAGATTGTGAGACATAATACAGGTTATCTAAGCACGATAATTGTTTGATAAGTTCTTTGCAGCTCTCTCAGGGGATTGACAGATTGTGAGACATAATACAGGTTATCTAAGCACGATAATTGTTTGATAAGTTCTTTGCAGCTCTCTCAGGCGATTGACAGATTGTGAGGCATAATACAGGTTATCTAAGCACGATAATTGTTTGATAAGTTCTTTGCAGCTCTCTCAGGGGATTGACAGATTGTGAGACATAATACAGGTTATCTAAGCACGATAATTGTTTGATAAGTTCTTTGCAGCTCTCTCAGGGGATTGACAGATTGTGAGGCATAATACAGGTTATCTAAGCACGATTATTGTTTGATAAGTTCTTTGCAGCTCTCTCAGGGGATTGACAGATTGTGAGACATAATACAGGTTATCTAAGCACGATAATTGTTTGATAAGTTCTTTGCAGCTCTCTCAGGGGATTGACAGATTGTGAGACATAATACAGGTTATCTAAGCACGATAATTGTTTGATAAGTTCTTTGCAGCTCTCTCAGGGGATTGACAGATTGTGAGACATAATACAGGTTATCTAAGCACAATAATTGTTTGATAAGTTCTTTGCAGCTCTCTCAGGGGATTGACAGATTGTGAGGCATAATACAGGTTATCTAAGCACGATAATTGTTTGATAAGTTCTTTGCAGCTCTCTCAGGGGATTGACAGATTGTGAGACATAATACAGGTTATCTAAGCACGATAATTGTTTGATAAGTTCTTTGCAGCTCTCTCAGGGGATTGACAGATTGTGAGGCATAATACAGGTTATCTAAGCACGATTATTGTTTGATAAGTTCTTTGCAGCTCTCTCAGGGGATTGACAGATTGTGAGACATAATACAGGTTATCTAAGCACGATGTTTTGTTATTGCATAATAAGTGTTTTGCTGCTACCTCGGTAGGAAAAAAGTGTTGAGATCACGCATGACATAGTAGACAATTACTTTACATGTACTTACTTTACATGTTACTTTACATGGGACAATTACTTTTTTTTTTTTTAATAGACATGATACTTTGACGCCTTGAAATATCATTTTTTCTTCGGTTGCTGCCAGCTCAACACATACCTTGCAATTACAACAGACGCCGGTGACGGTTTGAATCTAAAACCTCAGATAATAACTCAAATAAACCTCAACAATGCGAAACCAGTGAATAACTATTTATCTCGTGTTTTACTTTTCGCGGTTGAAGTGGACAGCGTTATACGATTTTCTTGTCGATTATTTCTTGAATGCGACATGCGCTGCCGTTCTGACAGAAACTAACAGGAGAACATCATGTGTTTATCTTTACAGCTCAGAGTATTAAGCACAGATCAATGAATATGGTATAGAATAGTGTAATAAATTGCATTTATTTGCTTTTTTTATTTGAAACTCACACATAAAACAGTATGTTGTAGTGAGTTTTACAGTGTAGCGTATGCATTTACTTGTTCGGCGATTGTCGCTTACATAAAGGAGCACGGGGTAGTTCGGTACAGTATAGTGTATTTATTTACCTGTTCAGTGATTGCCGTTGCGAAATTCATCACTCACACAATCATTGGCCAATTAGCATTTTCATTTTGGTAATTTTCATCTTTGTTGTTGTGTTGGTGTCATCCAATCGAGGTTTCGTATTTCCGCGCCGGCCGCTGAATTACAGTTCAATTAAAACTATAACGCCATGCCGCGGGTGCGTTGCATTTAGGCTGTTCACACATTCATCGATTTGTCAAATTACATTGTAGTATCGATCCCCTCGAAAGAAAATTAATGGACTTCGTTCAAAAAAT